AAGGAGAAATGGCCTCCTTGATTGACAAAATCAACCCCAAGAATTCGTTATTTGATTTGTCCCGTCTGGAAAATCCTTAAAACCAACTGTGACTGAAATTCAGAATGTTGATAAGATATCTTTAATAAATACAACAGTGATATCATATCAGTAGCGGCCAGGAAAACAGTACCTTGGGTTATAGAGGCTGTGAGGGGCTGAACGATGGCGGATGTTCAAGTATGTTTATTATTCGTGGTATGCCCATCATTCACAAGCTTCCTAACAAACTATGAGGATTTGTCAGTGAATTCTAAAATTCCAGAAACCACTCTTCACAGAGAGAGCACTGGCAGAAGCTCCACACAGGTAGAATCAGAGCATTGTATTTAGCGCAAATTGCTCAAATTTTAAATAGTTAAAAAAAAATTCTATTTATTACCATGGTTTCTAGAAGTATACACTTATCCAGACATCAGAAAAACATGTAACAAGAATAATGTAGACTCTCATTTAATAATACAAAAAAACACGGGTTATCCAAATGTTTTACAGACATTAACAAGAAGCTTCTTCTCAACAGACCTCCAGATGCCAGCGCTACCCCCTGCTCGCCCTTCCTTTATCCCCCCAATCCCTTTCCAATTTCATCCCTACAGGTCTAAACGATACCAGACTGGAAGATGATATTCTATTGGCAACTTTAGCTAGAGCGTTAGAGGAAACATAACAATGTATCCAGTTCCCTTTATCATGCCTACTCTACAGCTATACAAGATACAAGTCTTTTACAGTGGAACAGTGGCAATATTCTACAAAGATATAAACAGACACGTAATAAGCCAGGATAACAACACAGAGTACCAAACAAAATGATACAAAATATTACGTTATGACCTTGGGTTATCCATAATAAGTACTTCAGATTATTTGAAGTTGTATACAAGAAATATATGATATACTTTCCTCATACCTTACTGTACCCTACTTTTTTTACACATGCTCATTGGCATATACTGATTATTAAAATTAAGTTTATAAAAACAGTCAAGATAATGTATTTGAATCCATCGAAAATGAAATTAGCGATTCATCATGTTAGGATGTTATGGTATACTTTAATTACTTTAAATCCATGACACTTTTTTATGGATAGCAACTTCTTTGTACAACGTTTCAGAGCTTCTTCTTGCAAAGAATAAATGAAATTGCCATCCATTAAAAAAGTGTCGTGTATTCATGTTCTCCCTTCTCTCACTTCTAAATTCCTATCACAGACTTAAAAAACCTTGACCTACACATGTTTCTGAAGATACGACATTTATTGGGTGAGTATGGTTTTACGCCGCTTTTAGCAATATTCCAGCAATATCAAGGCGGGGGGACACCAGAAATGGGCTTCACACATTGTACCCATGTTGGGAATTGAACCTGGGTCTTCGGCTTGACGAGCTAACGCTTTAACCACTAGGCTACGCCTAGGACAGACTACAGACTAAACAACAGAATCGAGAAGAAAGTATTTCCAGATTCTACTTCTCCAGGCTTCCAAGCTCTGCTTCACAACGACATCTCAACATTCAATATCAGGTTCAGTGGGATTTACAACAGGAGCATGGCGCTGCACAGACAGACCAGAAAGTTTATGTTATCTCCTGCTGACCAGATTGGACATTGCAAATCAAGTCAAATAGCCAATGGCTGGGATACTATCAAAGTTTGTTTAGAATAACTGGGGAAAGGCCGGAGGAAGCAAGATGGCTGCAGGCTAGTCTCCTGATTGAGTTATGATGGAGATCCACATCTGGGAGTCATCTTCGGTTCCTGTTGACCGATCCAACAGGAAGTGACCATGCTATGCTGAATCTGATGATCGCCATGTGCACCAATGGTTCTGGGTATGGATTCTTCATCATGAGATTTGAAGTGAAATTCAAACTATGAAGTTAGGTCTTGAGGAAAACAGTTTTATTACCCACCGTGCACTGTGGTAGGAAATTAGGCAGGTTAATATGGAAGCACTATACAGTCCTGTATATACCATGATGCTGGAGATGTGTAGTAGTAATTAATACTTGCTTTTCTTGATTTTATTTGATTTCATTGAAACATCAGTGGAATAAATTTGGAAAGTTTTTTCATCTGTATTGCTCAATAGAAGAGGAGGGGCAGTAGGGTGGCTTAGCGGTTAAGCATTGGACCGTCATGCCGAAGGCCCAGGTTTGATTCCCAACATAGATACAATGTGTGATCGTGTGTTTTTCAGTGTTCGTCACTCATGACCAATTTTCAGTAACACTGGACCAAGAAATATTGAAACCAGCTTGTGTCCATCTATCCTTATCATACCGTATCGTGACCCGCCTACTGGGACAAGCATGTATCGTGCCAGTCTCAGACAACATGGCCAATGCTTACCCACAGCTGAGCTGCCAGTTCAACAGGACTGAACTTGGGATCAGATGCCATCAAGGTTGCCAAGTACACTTTAACACAATGTGATAAAGCTAACAGTGCAACGTGTAAAATACAAAGTCTCACAAATCTTTTAAATAAGTGTAATAAATGTCAGCTAATAATTTCATATTTGGCATTTTGAAAATGGAGGGCCGCTCAAGCAGCTGGGTGCCGATTTACTGTCCACTCCCAGAATGCAACAGCGGGATAGCTTCACCACATTTGACTTCCAAATGAATCACCACAGCAACCATAACTTCCAATTCCCTTCCAAACATAAACAGGATCATCAAAATAGCAAGGAAGTAATTATGAAATTAGAACCAGCCCCTTTTCAAATCTAGGAAATGTAAACAAATTTCCAATTCCACTGACAAAAGTTGAAGACGAATAGCTTTCAACAGTTTTTTCTCACGGAAATGTCCTCATGAAATAAACCACAGGTTGTTGAACCCTCTGATTCATACAATAAAGAAGACATTGATGCTAAACTGTCTCATAAATTTCATAAGCATATTCAGTTACTGTGGACGTTAATTTAACAAGTGTCTGAGAAACATCTGGAGCTACACCTACCGAAGAAACCCAATCTACCATTTCCTCAAATATCCCCACTAGTTATGGTTTTATTAGCAGGAATTCTCTTTGGAGTTAGCACTTGAAAGCCCAGCCCATATGAATTGCCACATCCTGTAGCTCCGCACCAGAAACAAACTGCTGAAACAAAGACCATTGTGGACAAGCCCATGGACCAACAACCTTGGACCTTGCTTCTTTTCTTGAAAAGCAGCAGGAAAGAAGGACTGCAGTACATTTCCCTCCCACCCAATTTCGATGTTAGACAAACTATTTGTGAGGAAGACAAAAACAATATTCCATAAACAAATGACACAACTTTCTTATGAACAGAAAATCCTCCATGACCTAAATTGTTCTGCCCTTTCAAAGAAAATGTCACGATTCATGGATATCCTCGACTGTACTTCAGACATGCTATATGTATCGTATCCTACCGCGAAAGCATGCCACTAAATCTTGGCAGCAAAAAAAACCTGGTGAATGAATGTTTTGTTACGCCACAGTCAGCAGTACTCCAGCCATTACCATGGCAACCTGCAATGTCATGTACGAGGGTCACGTGGTCAGATACGAGGGTCACCAGGTCTCACGCGGTAACCACCCAATCAACAGCCGGCTCATTTTCATTCATAACTTCACCCCCAATCAATAATGGTGGTACAAGCCAGACAGCTAAACTGTTGTGTTTCGTAAGCTCACAATTTCAAGCATCAGCATACATCCTATAAAGCAGTACCGCATCTGGGATACCTGTGTAAGGCATGGCCAGCTTTCATTAGGTGTATGGAACAATGCCTTCTGTCTATTGTGTAATTTGTTCCGCAACAAATTCTGTTGAATTCCAAATTTAGAAACATGTTTTTTATTCATTTCAAATGAATTCTTTCAATTGTTTCAGTCATTGTTACACACTAACGCCTATATATAAAAAAAACAAGAAAATTCCACCTTGTGATTAAAACATTACGATCACTGCAGACCTACATGGTGTATAAAGATTATTTCCCTAGTGCCATAGTAGTTTGTTATTTTTCATCAATGCGAAGGATACTATCATGTTGTGGTAGCAGTTTGCTTGTAATAATATCAAATATAATATAATTTTGAAAAATAAATATAAATTTGTAATAATATCATATAAATAGCACATGTAATAGCTTAATATAACTTTAAAAGTATTCTGAAGAACATAATTGAATCATGAATCACTGATTGTTTAATCTTGTTTATGAATATTATGCACAGGCAAGAAGCCTACCATCACTGCCTGCTTATACAAGAGGCTAATGTATCAACAAATAAATATTAATGAAAAAATGTTTCAGTACAGTGTTAAATGTCTAAAAAAAAAAGCTAAACAAAAACACCTCATAGCTTGTATCATCAACAGGTTAGCAGAACCATGGAAGGAGCTGCTTTCTTCCTAAACTGACACAACCACATTGAAAGGAGCTTACTGTTTTATCATCAGGTTTCTTAAGCGTTTTCATGGCTGACATCAAGTTCACTTGTATTCTTGACAAAAGAATAACTTATGCGACATGAACCTTGACAACTGTAGGTAGTTGTGTGTGTTCATTACAGATGCTAACATATTGCCTTGGGTATGTGCACTGAGTCACTCAGCAATGAATATAATCAACATTTAATATATATGGAATCTGACTACTAACAAATACTTGCCTGAAGTACATCCAATTATTTTGGCAAGTTAACCATCAGAGCGAAACAGGGATGTGAAGTCATTTGTATCAAAATAAGTATGTTTGAATAACTTTCAATGTGAGATGACTTCAACAGTAATGTCAGATATATTCAAAAGGTTCATTATTTTCAATATAGACCAGGTCTTGGCTTTCATACAGTAAAAGCTCTTAAGAATTTGACACATTTATATGTGATGTCAGATTTTTTTCCTACCATCACAAAAAGCATTGCAGGCAAGAAATAGATTCAAGTTTAAAAAATATGAGGGGAACACCTACCTGTAGATTTCTCCTGTTGTAATGAAGGCTGCACACAACTCGCTAGAATCACAGATAGAATACACACACACCAGGTAAGTGCCATGATATATCACACAATATCAGCTACCACATCCTCGTATACAATCCTGGGAATTACTGCTATAACATCCTTGAGATGATCACACTGAAAATGAAAAAAAATAACATCAGTATCATTGGATGACAATACCAACATCAGTTATACAAATAACATCAAGTTAAGGAAGAGGATTTATGGATTGATTTTACCTATGAACGTCCGAAACGGTGTGTTCCTCATAATGAAGAAGCTGCATCCATAAATTCTCTTCGTTATGTGTATCACTTCTAAATGCCTTTCAAAAGTTAGCAAGACTCAAGTTAGATTAAACTCTTGGATAAAATTCCTACATGGTCAAACCATCTATTTCCGACACACAATATGAAGGGACACATTCCATGGTCTATCACTGTATCCAATTAACCCTCCCCAGTCTGCCTCCTCCTATCACCTTATTAACCCCTCCTAGGTGGTATTCACAGCCAGTAGGGGAGCCAGACATGGGAGATGCCCGCAACCCAGCTTAACACTTTCATTAATCATGCATCTCTACCCCTAGACCATCCTACATCTTCAAAGTCCATCACAGTCATTCCAGATGCCAAAACAGACCCTCTGAACATGCCACATTTAGACATTATTTGAATAAATATCCCACAAAGCCCTTCACCTGTAGTATAAGAACAATAAAAGGGGAATATATGAATATATTACATGCCACAGGCAGGGAGATTCATTCACAAATCCTATTGTCATCTTGCGTTTATATGAAGAGTTTAACACAATCACAGGGATGAATATTTTGGAGGGAATAAGTTACACATCCGAATGTGTGTCACACAACAAATGTCATACATCCACTAGCAGCAGTGCTAAGACCTTGAACAGCATGCTTAGCATCAAGGATGCACTTAGTACTGATCAGTGCAACCGTCACGAAATTTTTCGGACAAATTAAGCTCATTTCAAACATGTTGACATTCTTGTATAAATCTTTTAAAAGAATTCCCCAAGACTTCCCAAAAACAAACCTGACATGTCTGTCGTACTAAGTAAGTCCTTAAAATAGTTGAAATCTAAACAAATACAGCTACAAGGTATTAAAAGCAGTAATTATGTTCCTAATCCCCGATTTGTTTAATCCCAACCAGCATACCAAAGGTTTGACAACCATGCTAGCCTCAGTGTCTGCATCACTTGTTGAGCCCACCCATTGGCCACTAATCACTTCTGACCCCTACCGTTGTGTGACCTGACTCCCTGCAGTGACCCTGACCCCTAGAGACCATGTGACCTCCAGACCACATGAAAGGGCCCTAATCCCCTGCCCACACCTTGGACATCCTGTATTTGGTCCTAATAAGCTTAATCATATGTCTTTGATGTTAACCTTAATTATCACAAGTTTCAAAGCAATAATGAAATTTCAAAATCATGGAACCATCCTTATCAAATTTCAAATAATTGTTGAACAAATACTGTCTTTACCAAAAGTTTATAACCCCATGTACTTTACCATTGAATCAAACCATAATACCATAGAGTGTGTTTGTTCAGGTTCATAACAAATTAGAGATGAAAGAACGCATGCAACATATTGTGGTATATTCATGAATCATTATTGCGATAAATTGCAATACAAAATACAGGCCACTACCCTTCTCTATTAGATATTAAGCACTAATGATCTTTCATTGTATATATGTATATATGAATCATAATGTCTTGTCTTTTGAGATTGCATCTGTCCCATGATGGAACGTTTCTGCAATAAATATTATCTTATCTTACAAACTCAACAAAGACTGCAAGCCCATGAACACCAAATGTACTCTGACCTCCATGGGTGCAGAACAATGTTTTTCATCAATTCCAAGATTTCACAGATGAATCATCATTTTCTCACAAATTGTAAGTGGTTTACTCTGGCAGAGGAAGCACATTGGTCTGAGCTAATTCCATACAGGCAATTCCTAACATAAACATGGACAGCTTTTAAGCGACTAGAGAAATTTCACAGTTGACTTACTTTTCCCTGTTTGACCCAGTTCCTGAATCTTGCAAACATTTTAAAATTTGGATCTCATGAACCTCTATAAATGTGGAAGCAATTAAATAGGAAAGGTTACCCTGACGGTTGTGATGAGAACACAGCGACTTAAAAATAGAACCTTAAGTTCAAATTATACTGTAGATTACAAGCAGTTGGGACTGAACAATAAAAAAATTAAACTGATACTATATACATCCAAAATGCCCTATGAAACAGGCAAAAGAACCATACATGATCTTCACATGTCAAGCTAGTGTCAAATCATTATAATAGTTTTCAGTTTCAGAAACCATGACGAAAAAGTGATAACATGCTCCAGATACCGGATAAAATACAAATGATGTTTTATTTATGAATATATTTGCATTTTGTCACAAGGAGGACTGTGATTGCTGTTAAGACAGACGTGGGAAACGAAAGACAACCTATCAGATAGTGACAATGTGACATCTTCTGAATGCATAATTATATAGGAAGAAACAGGCTGAACAGTGGTTGTGTGATAACCACTATATCACCCTAGAGCATGTGGGCAAACAGCCCATTCTGACCACTTCCTGTTACATAACTCATACCCATTACATCATACATAGCCCCTAGTCATAAGCGACTTATTGTACTATTTATCATTATGGACAGTGATATAACAATTATATTCAACCTATATCCCTAGTGGATAGAACATACAGAAATACAAGGTTACAGTTTGTATTTTTCCCAAATGGCATTTAATGGAATGCAGACTGTGTCCAGTTGGATGTTTCTGAAATACATCCAACTGTCTTACATAGCCTTCTACAGAATTATAATAATAATTATACAAAGAGTGACCTACATTGTTTTCAATTACAATGATCCCATAAATCTCTGACAATAAATAAACTTTCTGACAATGCATACCTTTCAGGACAAACCAACCTAATATTCTTCAGAAACTTCAAGACCTAAGAGAAAGTTATCACATTGAAGTCAGCTAACTGAATGATGGTCATCTTCTGAGCCTGGCTAATTTATCACCCACGGGTACCATGAGCAATTAAGAAATGAATGTGTCAACAAAGGGTGAGTGTTTTAATGACAGTTAACAGTGGAGATAATTGATAAGTCAACAATACACCATTGTATCCCAAGTGTCTCTGTGACAGCTACCCTAATTAATCAACAATCTCTGGGTGGAAATGTTACATAAACATCCCAAGTTCAAAGGTGCGACCACTTGACACTAAACAAAAGATTAATTAGCTGTAATGATAAACATGTGGCAATAAACCTTGTTTAGGTTTCTCCATGTATATTGTGCTTGTATAGGTTGAGGTGTTTTGTTTGTAACTTGAGAATGGTTTTACAGGTGAGAAAATCTTATCTGTTTCTCAAATAAAGCCTTCTCCACGAAAAGGAGAAAACCCCAAGATTTCATCTTTTTTGTAATATTTGTATATCAAATTAGATATTTAGTAAGTAAGTAATATTTATCTCGTCATGCATACAAGATATTTAATATTTGGTATGATATTATGATACCAACTAACTTATCAATGAGGGATTAAGAAAGTGTTATGATAATATAACATCATAATATGCACCACAAACAACAAAAGGTTGGAAACATTGTTGTATCATATGTGTGGTTAAGACAAGGCCATCTCTTGGCTCCTATTGCTTTTACTGTTGGGAAGGCACCTGTATCAGGTAGTATGCTATATTGGGGCAAAAAGATTTCGGGCTAGACCACATGAACAAGGATACGACCCTTTGTATTTGTATTTCCTTGGCTTTGTTTACTGGGCTTAAGGGACAAAGATGTGTTCTGTCTCAATGCTAAGGTGCGCAAACATGACTGTCCTCCCGAGCGCCCTATTCAAACATACTGGACTCGATTCCAACTGGCCTATCAAATGGAATGCAAAGCCACTGCTTCCAACAAGAGCAATTTTAAAGTAAAAATATTTATAAATACCAGGTCACCCAAGAAATCAAATTTAAACTGAAGTGTTTTATATTTTGGGGCTGGTATTCTGTTGTGAAACGATACCACACCTTTCGTACCATCATCCCTAACTTGGAATACTTGGATTAGATACATCACTGTCAACTACCACATGGCATATACATTTATATGCATTAGTATACACTGTGAAAGAAATTATCACTTGCCAGAAATATTCTTACTCCTATATCCTATTTATTGCATGTTTACCTGCAATCCTGCCCCCTACTCCACAATTGAAGGATTTAATTGTTGTCGACATGATTTTATTCAAAAATCCATTTTAAATTTCTTAAATTTAGCATCCTTGAACAGGCTATACCTTCTCTTCCCTGTCTTGAGTTTAGAAAACAATTCAACAAAGATGTTATCTTTAGCGCAGAAAAATGTCCTGCCATCAGCTGTAGCGTAGGGAATGAAACGAATACCTGCATACCAATTTCATGATTCACGATCAAATGACATTCCATCAGTGTTTATTGTTGAGGGGACATTTCGAGGTGGGCAGCATTCTTCCTGTAAGGAAAGAGCCCACAATACTATAAATGCTATTGATGAAACATTATTTCGCTCTAAATGAACTCCATGGCTGATTAAATCAGTGTAGCATGGTGTGAGTGGGAGAATGCAATGCAATTGTGACCTGTGGGTCAGACTTCATCTGGACAACAAAAGATAACACCATCTTTTATTGATGTGAACTCTACGAGCTCTAGACTAATAAATTGTTATCTTAAAAACAGTTTACAGTCCAGAAAAGGCTAAAGAAATTTTAGATTACAACATACATCAGAACAAAGGCTTTTGGTCTCACAAACTATTCCTGTTGTGAGTATAGAGAGTATAACCAACACACTGGGATGTCAAATGCATCGTGTAATTTGGCAACATGGTAGATCTGGATGGCAAAGTATCCTCAAATACCATCATCTCATTACAAACATAAGCAGAAAAACAATAAGGGCTGGGGAATGTCAGCAGCACATTCTACTGAAAGAACAGGAACACCACTTTCTGGGCCGTCTCGGGACAATCTCTGCCACATGCAGGATCATATTTATGCCT